CTCTCTCTCTCTCTCTCTCTCTCTCTCTCTCTCTCTCTTTCTCTCTCTCCCTCTCACTCTCGAACGAAACAACCGATTTCAAAAGCAGCGCTCCTCGAATTCGGAAAACCAACGCATCCTCATTGTCCAGACTATCCCTAGATCCGCGAGTCTAGTGGGCCTCCACCAACGTCATCATCCGTGGATTTCCGTCTAATTACTGCGGGAATGTCACGAGGTCGCGCCTACAAGTTCTCTCTCTCTCTCTCTCTTTCTCTCTCTCCCTTTCTCTCTCTCTCTCTCTCTCTCTTCGGACCTGCGCCTCGATCTCCATGTGGCACGTCTCCATCGCCTTGAGGACCGTCGCGTTCTGCCGTCGCAGCTGGATCAGCAGCAGCACCAATTCCTCGTGGGTCCTGCCGAGGAGCTCGCCGGCGGACACGCGCACCAGCCCGGAAGCGCCAGCTTGCGTCACCCTGCCGCCGGCATCCGCTCTCTGGGAGCCGATGTTACTCTGTCGAGGCATGCAATCGTCTGTTAGGCACACACGCACAAACAATCACCGGAGTGGTAATCGAGCTAGCGGTCACTACGACGTCTAACGCCGCGAGGACGCTCGGAGAACCTCATGACGATCTCTCGCCTAACGGAAAGTGACGGGGCTACACGAGTGGCTACTATCTGTGGAGTTAAACCCGAAACCTCCGGCGGGAACGTAACGTTAAGGAGAGAAGAGATACATCAGCTTCTGTCTTCCTCTCTCTCTCTCTCTCTCTCTCTTTCTCTTGCGCGCGCGATTGCCAATTTTTCGAATATCTCATCGGAAGTTACTTCGCGGCATTCTCTTTGGATTCGTTTAGCTTTCCATACGGAGATCTATATAGGATCTCTTTATAGGAGAGAGTCTCACTCGGAGAAATGACTAGGCGCGCTTAATTCCGCCGTGTCACAATTACTCGCGTCACATACAGAGCGCGTGCATGTGTATATGTGTGTGTGTGTGTGTGTATATATGTGTGAATGTGTAGATTTGATTGGCATGGGAGAGGAGAAACACATCCTGTTATCGTCAGCGATGTCTAAAGCCGCGCTTCGCATCAACGTCGCTGCAGCATTTCGACTGCGGCTGTGTATCGTTGAAGCCGCATACACGGCTTATTGGCATAGTTCCCGTAAGATATCCACGCGATTGCGCGATCGAATCGTCCGATTCGGCGTGAGATCTTTCAGAATATGCAATGGGAGAACGCACAAAATGTGCTGGGGCGATTTTTGCCGGCGCTCCCGCTGCACAAACGGCAGTTGTTATAACAACTCGCGGAGCAGTATCTACCAAATCGTAACAGCCCGCAGGGCCATCGAGCAGTAGAATTGAATTACGAGCGTTCAGGATACATGCACACACATCGACGTTCGCATCGGTTCCGCCGTTCACAGAACATGCGCGGGGATAGCTCGAGGATTGATAAAACGGACGAACCGGTCCGGAACAAATTCCGCATAAATGCGAGAAATGGAGAAACGCGGCGAACCGCATTCGTATCTGAATTAGGTGCTTCGTTTGACCGTATTGAAATTTCAGCTATTGCGGCTTTACATCAGTCGACCGCGACTGCATACAAACTTTTTAAACTGCGCGCCGGAATTTCTCGGCGATAGAGACCGGAGTGTGCGCGGGCACGAGGATTACCGGCTCTTTCTCTCCTCCCCTCCCCCTTCTCCTCGCCTCTCTCTCCCTCTCTCTCTCTCTTTCTCAGTCCATCTCTTTTCCTCCCATCGCTCTCTGTCTTCCTCTCTCTAGCATTTTGCATTCGTCAGGCCGCTCATGTTGCCGAGACCGCCACGTTTTAGTGGCCCTCGCGGTCGAATTTGCGGCAGCTTGAGAGGTGAGGGGCGCGCGGGAGGCGCTTGAATTCGCGTAATACGACGGGAAACAATGCGGCGTAAAGCGAGGCCGCGCACACGAGCATCGTCGAGAGCAACAATCGCCGGTTGGAACGATTCGTTTGCGACTTGCGTGCGCGTGTGAGAGGAATGAGCCGGCCAGCTCAGTGCGATGAGGCGCTATCAGTTCGCAAATAAAACAAACTCGTTGGGCAGATTCACCAGCGCTCACGCCAAGCCGCGTTATTTCTACCCCCAGGGTCTTGTCGCTGATCGATAAGACCGTCGTGTGTTTATTTCAAGTCGCGCGAAAATAACGCCCCTCTGTGGACGAGAGTCGCGCTCTCTCTGTAAGTTATACCGCGAATACACCTGCATTTGACGTTACTCTCATTGCCCCGAGACTTCCGTGTTTTTGGCTTCCCCGGGCGTGAGTACTCCAGAAGGCGGTATCGTATTTACTTGCACGTACGCGTCGCGGTCTGAGGTAGCTCGGGAAGCATCGAGGAAATTGACTCGCGCTCTTACCGTTGCGCCGTCGTAGGAATTCCTAAAGGTCACGGAGAACCTAGAGAACGCGGCCAACCTGCAGTTTTCTATTGCTTTCCAATTTTCTAATGCAGGAGTCCCCCGCCACTCTTACGCGGAGAAGGATGAGGCCGCGTAAAAATTCTCGTCGAGACACACTGACGCGCACGAGCGCGCACACACGTGCGAAGAAAGATCTCGCCGTGGATCTTGTCCGACGAGCGATGTACAAAGTCCGAAGGAGTCGATCGTGGATGCGTCTCGGTGCGCGTCTTCCTTATTTCAACGAACAAGTCCCAAAAGGTAGCTCGCTCGCTCGTTCGATCTTCGCGCTCCACTAAAATTCCCGTCGATCGCCAGTGTATCTTGGTGCTGTGTACCGTTCCTTGCAAGAAATTGCTGCTAGATCGAGAGGCGCGTTCCCTCGTCGCGCGAGAAACAATCACTCAGCGAATCCTGGGTTCTTTGTCTCATATGAAGCCCTACGAAAGCACGCCGGACCGAAAGAAAGGTCACATATCTGTGCCAAAACTCGCCTCACGCGAAACAGAAGTGTCCAGCCGGGCTCTTAATTGCAACGCACGATGTTACGCGACGTCGGCGTCTCGCCACCATCTTGGCGGCACCGGCACTCGATTTTCTCGACCGTATTTCCGCGCGTAATTGCTGAATACACTCGTAATTGTAGGATTAAGAGCTGTAAATATAGTATTCCCCTTGTTCAGCCCTTTGTGTGAGGGCGACGCGAGGCAAATTTCGTTTGGCAGTAACCTAACAGCGCACACAAAAGAAAGCTTGGTATCCTTGATTCAACAAAAGAAAGCCGTATTTAGTATTCCCAGGCGTCCGCATTTAGCGCTTTTACGTGCCCTGCGTACAAAACCTCCTGGTGACTCACTTTTCGGGTTTCCGATCTTACACTCAACATTCCAGGCGACTACATCTCTCTCGATCAGAGCTACTTAAACTGCATCCCCGCGCGGAGTCCCGCCCCGCGCCGCGGCGGTCTTCCCGCTCATGATGCTCGCTCGTACCTGTTCGTTCGGATGCGTGAATCCGCCAAACTGAGAGGGATGTTGCTTCCGAAACCGTCCAGCTTGCGAAGTCCAGAAGTCCAGAGAGTTAGAGAAAGCCACGCTCATGGAAGTCGCACTAATGCACCTACGGCTGGGCCGCGATGGCGCGCGCTAAACGACGCGGGAGTACCAGAGAAGGACTTGAGCAGACTGGCGTGATGCCCGATCGGCTTGCTCGCTTGCTCCCTCGCTCGTTCGGCCGACCGACCGACCAACCGACCGACCGACCGGCTACATGGTGTGCATCGTTGGCCGCCTTGCCTGGCTCGGCCGGTGCCGAGCGTTTTGTACCTTTTGCCCCCGAGGGGCCCACCAGTCGGCCCTCGCGACCACACGCGGGTATGCTCGCCGACAAAAGTTCCGAAGCACCTTCACTTCTCCTCTTCACTTCATCCTCGGCCTTTCGTGACGCCCCTGTCCACGCGATTCACGCCGCGGGTGTGCTCGCCTATCGATACGAGGCGTCGAGACGCGTTGAGACGATCACACGAATCCGCACGATGACGGTGATCAACGTGCGTTAACGGACACGTCTCGCGGGGACATTCCGCGGTCGGCACGTTCCTCAGCCGATGGCGAGGTGTCGGTTTACCCCAGTCGGGAACGATGGGTTACGGTTAGACTTGCGACGAGCGCGGTTGAGCTCGGTTTCTCCAACGAAGTCTTGCGAGGAGTCTCTTGCTACTTGCAACGATTTGATAGGCGATCAGCAATGCGGTGGAAAGTACTTAAGAGCCGCGAATTGACTCGATTGACCTCCTCTAAGTCCGTGAGTCGTTAGTAAAAATTGGCTGTCAGGCAGGGTTGGAACTTGGGATGCGGCTGCTCGTTTCAGCCATATGCCGCAACGTCCACGTGGAACTCGCTGTCACGTCATGGAACGGTGTTTCCGTATTTTGGAAACTTTGCGACATGTTGCGTTCGTGAGACCAACCGGATTGTGTCACGGCTAGGTTATCGTGCGAAACTCGAAGACGAATTTGCGGGGCCGAGTGTCTCGCGCCGTGCGTCTCGCGCCAACGTTGGTTGTGCACGAAGCTTTAAGGCTTGTCTGCAGTTCCTTGGCACGGTGCCCTTGCTGACCGGTGCTGACCGTATGCAGGATCGACCCTGGACCCTGGCGTTTCTCAGTTCTCTTTTCCCCCGTCGTCTCAGTCACGCTCCCCTTCGCCTTTCATCTCTCTTTCTCCGTCTTTCTCCCGCTCTCACTCCGCCCCCGTCTTGCTCCTGCCTTGCTTTCTCGCTCCCCCGCCTTGCTGCCCATTGTATGTAATGGCGCCAGGACGACGACACTCGGGTCGTTACTTTCTTGCCCCCCCTCCTCCCTTCGTGTACCACGCGCTCGAGATAAAGCCACGTTAGGAGGCGTCCGTTCGAATTCTCGCACGAAAAACTTCCTTTCGACCCAACTCGACCGCGACAACGACGACGACAACGACGATAGTCGCGGGAGAGCTGGTGAAATCGTACTTGAAGAATGCCGTCTAACAGGATTGTTTGTAGCGCAAACTTGTAAACCGCTCGAGCCGCGTTTAGAATTTTACGTAGCGTTGTGCTCGTTGCATACTGAAGGAATGATCGGGCAGTCAAAGGTGGACGCGCGTGAAGTCTAATAGTATAGCTCTATTGTTGGATTCGCCGCTATTTCGTTGCAGCCACGAGAGCACGAGTAAACGATGGAGTTGTCGATCGCTCGCTGTCGGGTCCTGGCTTTCGCTCGTTTCTCCGGCCGTATTTAGCTGCTATTTATCCTACAATCGTGACCCACTCTATCTAATAGTGTAATAATGACTACGATCTGTTTCGCGGGACGCGCTAACGCGATTTTATCGACGTACGTAGAAGCTCAGCCAACCGTTCTCCGCTTTGAGAACCTCGGAAACGTCCAATGAGAATGGTGTGTTTCACGTTTATTGCGTGCGATATACGTCACATGTGGTGCAAACATGATCAATTTCGTACACATTGAATCGCGATATGAGTTGTGTATAGTGTGCAAAGGTGCTACAGTCTCTCTCTCTCTCTCTTTCTCTCTCTATCTTCTCCTCACGGAGCGACGTTTGAATTAATTGAGCTAATGGAATTTACATGCTACGGTGGTGATGCAAGCTACTTACTCCCCGTCAATAAGACAGCGTGTTTGCGTGATAGGGACAAGGGGACAATTAGATAAAGCAGCGTAAGGACGGGACGTCGATCGTGCAACCTTCGCGAAAAAATTCGCCGCTCGGACCGGATTCGATCTTGGTACGTCAACTTGACCCGCGGCTGTTGCGTTATCACGATTCGGAGCTTCTCCTCGAGCTTTCTCCGTCTCAATCATTTGAATTCGCGTCGTGCAGTCAGGAATATCTCCGGAAACACGTACTGAGAGAAACAATTATGGCAACAAATAGTTTATTGATGTGGGAGCACAGCAAGTGACCCCATAGTGGGCATGAATAGTTTGGTTGCTTTCAATTTACTGCTCCAGTAATACTTCTGCAACGGAGACCTGACCTAAATATACGAGAACAAGGGTGATTTGTATCTCAGTCAATGTGTATGTTTGCAAAGACGTCAAATGATGAGAGGTGACTTGCAACGGTACCGCTGTTTCCCCAACGATCATCAAACGACAAACGAGCCTTTGTTCGGGTAACCGGGATTTTTGCTCAATGCTACTCATAATTTATCTAGGTCCGTTATGAAAAAGCCCGTCGCCGTTGAATGTACGGTTGCGAGATGTCCTAACATTTAGATCTAAATTGAGGGTTATACGATTTTCAGCCTTACCTGAGATGAAAAATCGTATAAGCAACTCTGATTCATCGGGTCGTTCCTCCCTGATGAAGCGGACTGAAATGTTCGCGAAACGTCGGAATCAAACAAAGATGAATCCACGCGGCTCAAACCCGGAAACCAAATCTAATAAACTCTGATTATAATGATAAGGTTATAATGACGTTAATTATAACGATTTCAATCTTATTTGTATATGCATAAAACCGGAAATCCTGTAACTCTAGGGAAAAAATCCTGAAATTTAGGGAATGTTTGGACATCCATGACGTTGCGTGTACATCATCAACGACGACGTTGCTTTGGAACGACGCTTTTCACACGGACGACACTTTTCACGGGATGCGCACTGTTTCTCTCTTTCTCTCTCTCGCTTGCGTCTCCGGTCGTAAATTCGCAGTTCGCGGCGAACGATCACCGCGACGCGGTTAATTCTCGCGCGCGACGGTTGCACGATCGATGCCGCGCGGGTGGACGCGCGAATTTCCTCTCTCCATCCATCATGCTCTGCCATGCCAATCGAATCGGCGGGCGCTCTTTCGCGCGCGACGTTAAGGCGACTCGTCGTCGCTCGCTCACCCTTTTATGCAGCAGTTCGCTGCAATCCCGCGCCCGTTGCTGCTGCTGCTGCTGGCCTTGTCTCTGACATGCCGTCGTACCTCCGCCGCGGTCGACCTCCCTGCCTATCGGGCTGATCATTTTTCTCTCGCCTGCAAGCAAAAAGGGATACGAGTTACTGTACGCGGACTGAGAGGAAAGCTTTTGTTAATTTAACCAATACTGGTATCCGCAACAAGTGGTCTGTTGACACGGGATAGCAAATGACCCCGCAGTCATTGGGAACAAATGATTTGTTACTTTTATTTCGCTGTTCCAAGCAACATTTCTGCAATGGAGATATAACTAACGTAACCTAATTAGACGAGAACAAGTGCAATTTGTGTTCTCTCAAGCGGTGTATGTTTGCTAAAATAACAAATGATGAGAAATAATTTGTTACGTCTGTTCCCTTAATGATTATCAAACAGTAAATGTGTTTTTGTACAAACGAATTTTTCCTAATGTATATCCTGCGAGATATACATTTCTCTCCTTCTTTTACGAGAGAGAAAGAGAGACAGCCGCGCGGGAGGAAACGACTACTGCAAAAGGAAGTCGTGCATTTCCGAGCATGTCATAACGAGCAAAAGGATATACGACCGGAACTATTGGAATCGTTGATATTTCTGAGAATATCCCTGTTTGTCCGTTTCTCTCTCTCTCTCTCTCTCTCTCTCTCTCTCTGTCTCTCTCTCTGTCTCTCTCCCATTCTATGCTTTGTTGGACTTTGCGAACTCAGGTGAGATAGGAAGACTGCAAAAAATTATAACAACGAGTCGGTAGATCGACTTTCTCCTTAATCATGTTGATGACGGCCATTTGTATTTACGCTTTGACGCGTCGAGATAGTCGCTTAGCTTTCGTTACAATACTGTATTTATGGCACGAATTGTCGCTACCACTTTTCAGCCATTGATTCTTCAAAAAATATCTAAAATTGAAATTTTTGCATGAAACATTTAAGGGGATGCTGAAGCTAAAAACTTTATCGACAGAATACTGACATTTTTCTACACGTCGTATTGGTTACACAAAATTATAAATGCTTTTACGCAATGAAATGCTTTTACGTGCAAAAATCAATAGAAATATTGCTCGATATGTATCGAAAACGAACAAAAAATTTTTAATATAAAATCTCAAGCTATCAGTTAGCGTGATATTTGCCTAATCCAAAAGTTTCGCAGCTTGTATGTATCGAAAGTGTGGATGTTCCAAACAGAAAAATTTTGAAAAATATTGCTTTACTTTCGCATCTGTATTTGGAAGCTTAAAAATATCGAAAAAATTTGCAGCAAAATTTCTACACATATATGGCTAGGTTTTCCGTTGAATATGATAAAACAAAGTAACACACATTCATGTAAGTTCTGTATATACAAGAAATACACAAGAAATATACAAAAAATATACAGTGACATCTCTGTATATACAAGAAATATACAAGAAATATACAAGAAAAGAATAGCGTGATTATGTTAGTGACGATCGTCTCTGCATTATCGACATTGTTCGTCATCGACTCCAGCATCCCCTTAAAGAGCGTGCGTTTCTACCATTTGATTACGTTAAGCGCTTCGTCAATCAAATAGCTGGGTTAACGTTGGCCGGAAAGGAAGTTTGAAACGAACTTCCGAAACGAATTCGAACTCAGTTTCGAAACAGTTAGCATTTTTATTCGCGCGCTGTTACTGAACATACAGCGGTCGGATCTGCGCTGGATAAGATATTCAGAGGCCCGCAAAAATGTTCCGCAGCTGCGGCCGTTAGACGCGTCGTAAAACGTCGCAGAGAGGCACGGACTTCCGTCTAACGCGGAAAATTGCGCGGCTATTGTATCCATATAGATAGAATCAGATTGCGCGCGGGATACGAAGAAAATTCTTGGTGGACCGTGGCATTTAGGTTGCGAGCGATTTTTCTCCATTCTTTCGGAAGACAGTATTTGCCGAGAGCTATCCTCCACATCTGTGCACCCGAGATAAAGTCACTATATATTCTCACAATTTCCTCTCGGCACTCTCCGTGTCGTACCTTACCTCCGGCGCAAAAACGAAGAAGCAAGAATCGCGACACTCGAAAATCGTATCCGACAAGAGGAAAAAGGGAAAGAAATTGTGGTATTCGAAACTTACAGGGCTGCAGGACTTGCGAGCGTTGTTCGTCGAGCGCGCGGACAAAGGATCGAGAAATGATAGATACGAGGACGTGGCGCGATCAGTCAACTGTCAACGCGTGAGAAAATTCGGCCAATGGGGACGTTGTACCGTCGAATGTAGGATATAAAGTGCCAGCAAAGTGCATTTCTTCCGCAGCATTCTGTAGCATTCAATAGCTTTCCGGACAGTGATCGTTCCCTTATTAGAAACTGGAACTTTTTCGTTTCGATTCATAAGAATAATTTGCAGAACTTTATACTACACATCTACCGTATTGCCAAAACTATTTCTAAAACCAATTGGGAACTATAGAACTCTTCAGGGGTTGGATTCTCTCCAATATATAGGATGTAAGGAAGAGGGAAGAAGGGAAGAATAATCACACAAGAAGACCTCCACGATCAATTAGTACTCGACGATCAATTGGCGTAGCTGGAGAAACCATTAAATCTTTACGCGTTTCGTATGTTGAGTAATAATTTCGAGAACGAGTATTCACATCCACGCACTCTGATCGGCATTAATTAAAACGTTCGCCAGCGCTGTGCGTTTTACATCCTCTAATCCTTTTCTCGAAATTTCAAAGATGAGGGACTAACTTCGCACAGACTCGTCGTGTTTCGGCGGAGAGAAGGAAACTCGGGAAACAAGAACTTAAGAAGACTCGAAAAAAAGGAAGAAGAATTATTTCACGATTGTGAATTTCCTTTTCCTACTTTTCGCTCGCTACGCAATGACATCGTGCAGTCCGGATGTACGTTTTCCGAAGCTGATCTTCCCGAGGCCTGATATCGATTACGCGCGCGTCCACGTGTGTGTATGTGTGTGTGTCTGTATCTTCGCGGAGTTAGGCGGGGCACCTGCGAGTGCACATGGGATTTCCATTATTCCACGTTGTGCATTAGACGAACGGCACACACACACACACACACACACACATACGCGCGCGAGCTTCGGCGGAACGCCGCGTGGATCCTCGGATAATTAACCCGGGCTCGCCGGCGCGCTGAAATTCTCGACCTAAATTTATGTCCTTTTCACGGCGGTTCGGCAATCTCGCGATTCCCGGGTAGATGTTAAATCGCCGCTTAATCTCGCGGATATTAATCGCTCGTCCGTCACCGCCCGAGCCGAGCATTGTTCATCACTCTTAAGTTCGCGCGCGAACCGAATATCCCGGACGAGCGTCGGCTGAACTTTGGACATTAAAAGAGGGGCGCTTCACCTCGTGCTCGGCTAAAGATAAGCAAATTTGTTTTTTACGTCCCACATTCCATCCGCGATTCTCTCCAATATAGAGTGTAAGAAGGAGGGAAAAAGAGAAGAATAATCACACAAGGAGACCTCCATTCAATTAGTGCTCGACGATCAATTGGCGCAGTTGGAGAAACCATTAAATCTTTACGCGTCTCGTATGTTGAGTAACGATTTCGAGAACGAGTATTCACGTCCGTGCACCTTTATCGGCATTAATTAAGCGTTCGCCAGCGTTTTACGTAGAACGAGGAGAGAAAAGTCGGCTCGGAAACGCCGTTAATGACGTCCGTCGCAGTTCCTTTTCTCCAACGCCAAACTCGCCGTCGCGAAAGTGATCCTAACTTGTATTACGGTCGACAATATATTAATTGCGTCTTAACTAACTTCGCTCCGCGGCAAAACTTCAGGTTCTTTCATAAAGCCGGATTCCCCGCCGGGAAAGTCGCCGCGGGCGATTAATCGCCCCCTTCTCTCTCTCTTTCTCTCAGCTGCGTTCCCTCTCAAGCATCTCTTGAAATCGCGGAAGTATCAGAGCGAACTAAGCTAATCGCAGACACAAAAGTCCATATACGATCGACGACGGGCGTTACGGGGAGGTGAAAGTGCCGCCAGACGCCCGTAAAAGTCCTCGCATTTCTTCTCCATCGTTTTGACTGCACCGATTCGGAAACTCTTTTAAAGTGCACATTCGAAGAAAGTGCGCCGTTACAATATTTTTATGAAAAAGAAGTTAGCAGTTAACCTAAGTTTCCTAAGACAATCTGTACTCTGCACGCAAAAAAAATTTCAGTTGGTGCAACCAAATAGAAACCAACTGAAAATTAGATGATCAGAACCAATATCTTTGTTATGAAAACTAATATTTCTGTTGTCGCGACCGTAAATATTCGTCTGAAGATTCAACGATATTAGAACTCGGTTGAGGCAACTGAGAACAATTGACTATACAGAAGCCTCATAAAGGAATTTTTCTGTTCCTACAGCCGAGTTTTCGTCCGATCACTGAGCAATCACTGAAAATTCGGTTGCACAGAATTGTTTTTTCCGTATGTAAAAGTAAAATTAGCAAAAAAAAAAAGCAGAGAAAATGCATAGCGTAGTGTTCGTAGAAGTTACGTTCAATTTTCAGAAATATGTTTGGAAGCTTAGAGAAAGCACCGTGTGTCAAGGAAAATTGCGCGCATGAATTTCCCTAGATGTAGGGTAAAAAAGAGCAGTTTAACCGTGTGTGCGTAGCAGTTCGCGGATACTGCGCAGCGGCGTCAGTGGATGTGCACACATATTAACATGAATCTAATGTATGTGTACACACACATTAGCACGAAGTCAAACAAAACATCACTGAAACCTCCAGTGTCTGCGAACTATTACACCACTATGTGTATGGGAGGTACACTGATCACTTCTATCTACACACTGCTGAAAGCACTCCGACATCCCGTTAAGGTGGAAAACTTACTTGGACTGTGCACGCGTATCTCGCTGTCGCTGGGACTGGAGACACGATGGTCGTTTAACGAGGCGACCCGCAAATGTCCGACCGGGCTGATCAATCGCTGAGTGGAATGACCGCCCGGCGATGCTAACCTCAGGTCTTTCATTTCGTTGCCAGTAACCCTGAAATTAGACGAGAACAGGTCAGTCGGGTTGATTCGTAGAATGCGTCATCGGTCCCCGGCCATGTCTCAAATGACGTCGTAAAACTCTTAGGGAGAAAAATGTGGGAACTCGATTCCTTTTGGGTAAGGCTGAGGATCGAGTTGCTTCCCCAAAGATTTCACGGGAAGCTACGACGATACAATAACGTCATTAGAGAGCCGAATATGGCTCTCAGTTTATGTTTATCTCTCTCTCTCTCTCTCTCTCTCTCTCTCTCTCTCTCTCTCTCTCTCTCTCTCTTTTTACTTCCTGAATCTGGGAAGTGAGCAACCGTCGCAGCTGCGAACCTCATCTGCATAAATAGGGATAATTCAGACATATCGCGATATCAGTATTCAACTGCGGGACCTTTTGTTTTTACGACTATCATCACCTCTCTTAGAGGAAATTTAGAAAACCTTCGTTTATACTTTAATCCACTCACTTTTGTAGCTATGCTTATACACTGAGAGAAAAAGTATTTTCCTAATTTAACAAAATACCAATTTACTTGCAGAATCTGAAGTCTGGAGTGCAACTTGCGAGGGAACGTTTCCCCTTCTACGCGCTATTTTCCTTCAGTCATGACCATTCGGTTTGGCATCAACGAAAGGAAAGCTCGAACCATATTGATGTTTTTTTTCTTTTGTACTTGCAAATCGGGAGATCAAAGGACATATTTGATTTCGTGCCATGAGTGCCGCGGTCTTTGTAAACACAGAAGAAAAAACATCAATATAGTTCGAGTTTTCCTTTTATTGTCGCCCAACTGAATGATCGAAGGGGAATGGCGCGTGTGATAAGGGAAATGTCCCTCCTCCTGGCTCCGCAGGTTGCATTCCAGATTTCATGTTTTCCGAGTGCACCTGCAACAAATGGTTTGATATAGGACAGCAAATGACTCCTCAGTGGGAAGAAATGATTTGTTGCTTTCAACTTGCTACTCTAAGCAAGACTTCTGTAACGGAGTAGCCTAGATAGACGAGAACAAATGTGATTTGTATCTCGAGCAATGTGTATTTGTTAAAATGACAAACGATGAGAAACGATTCGCAACGATAACTGCTCGACCTGTTTCCCTGATGATCATCAAACATGCTTTTGTTCTGATAACCGCTGTTTCTCAGTGTATCCCGTATTTGTAGATTTAACACCACTACACTGTCATGATTTACATTAGTTTATGCATTTGCTTCATTTATCCAAATAATCGTTACTGCTGTTCGCGTGTTTTTCCCTCCTTTGACATTTTTATTATTTACATCTAGAATCCGACAAGTGCTCACTTGTGTTATCACGAAATTTCAAGAGCTACGGAAAATTCACTCTGTTCCACTCCACTCAAGTTTCTCTATCAGAATACGGGGGTTTTCCCAAGCGACGCCGCTACTAATTTAACGTTATCTCGCGCGCGTTAAGTGGGTATCGATAATTCACCGGCATATTTCGCGACGTCTATTTCTGATGCATGGCTCGCGCGCGATAACGTCTCGTTATTGTGCGAGGCCAATAATAGAAAGGACCGCGTTTGAAAGGCGCGAGGCGAAGCAAGAATACCTGGACGGCGCGGAAATTCGCTCGAAAGAAATTAGACGGGGAAATTAGATTCGGCCCGACGACAATGGAAATGAGATGTAGCGTGAAGGCAAACCGCGCGAACACACACGCGAGGTAATTATGTTACCAAGGTGATGCAGTTTAGCTCACGTCGCTGGCTAATAATAGAGCCCGGCGAACTTGAGAGCGGCTCTCACGTCGATTATGACATCGCGGCGCGAGAATTCGGTCTAATTAGCGCAATTGCGATACTACACAATCCCAGTGCGCCTTGGTGCAACGAGCGGCTCTGTCAAGAGCATTATTTGCGCAAGTGACAGCGCGCGGCTTAATAATTAAGCAGCGTGACGACCAAACGAATGTACAAACGAATGAACTCGGCGCGGGTTAACGAGCTGCTCGCGGACTAAATGGCGGCGATAGCTAATCGCATCACGTCGCAGGCGAGTTCTCTCGTGGCCTTCTACGGCGATTAACCAAGCATCTCTGCGTTTCGTTTCATCGTGTCGGTCGGACGATTTTCGTCATTGTTCGACGTATCAGAAGGACTCGAACACGGTGGTCGAGTCTGCCTGATGTGATCGATCGAGTGTTTGGACAAGTTCAATTCTTTGTGGCTAAGCTGGACATAGAGCTCTATTTCTGGACGCATGGCGTCTTCGCCGCTGAACGTGTCTAATGAATGGATAATAATAACAGTGCGCCTGACATCTGTTACTTCGCACTGTAATTCTTTGAATCTACGTTAGTGTAAAATAAGAAGGAACATAGATTCGGAACAAGGCACAAGTCAGCCATGCGTCCCTTTCATGTATTTATAGCGAGAGAAACAGCGTGGGAAGGGAGAGTCGCGAAACGTTAATATTTTTTCCTGAGTCGCATTAAAATTGCAAAAGTATTCCAAAAGAAAGCCTGACTTAAAGAGCAGTCGGGTGAATTTTTGGGTATTTCAACATTTCGTAACGATATTCTCCATCGTGAAAAATCCAAGTGAAAAATTTAAATGACGTACTATTGAAAGTAATTTTTATTAACAAAATGATTCCAATAGAATAAATGAACAAATAGTAGGTCGGCTAACAAACAGCAAAGGAGGTTAGCCAATATTTAACTACCTGAAAACTCACACATGATATCCAGTTGTATGATTTGTTGATTAACACGCCCGCTACCAGGGTTTATTTGAGAGACTCCACTCCGGACCATTTCGTATGTTTTTTTACGTAATTGTATAAAGCAGATATAGGATATAAAAACAAAATTTTTATTATCGCACATAACACTGGTCTCTCAAGAGAGAAAGAGAGAGAGATCATTGCGTCAAACATATGACTCTGGTAACAAACTACACACAGAACGGAGTTTTATGCTCTCACTGCGCGAGGCCTGCAAAGTCACATCAGGATCTGTTTTTGACTTCTGCAGACTTGTCACTATGATACCATTTATGATACGAAAACAAGTGAATAAACTGCTGCAAGGAAAGGTTATCCGTCGGCTCGCAATGTAAGAGCACAAAGATTGTCGCAATCGTTTCCGACAGTATCGTAGACGTAAATCGGTGTCGGAAGTCAACGCACAAGGATTGGCGTAGACATATGCTGCACGAAATACGATCAGACGATACAATTGATGCATCATACGTCTACGCCAATCCTTGTGCGTTGACTCCCGATACCGACTTACGTCTACGACACTGTCGTAAACGATTGCGACAATCTTTTTGCTCAGGCCTTAAGTTACAGGAGAATCATATAACAGGATAATCATATAAGGACGATTCGTCCTAAACGCGATCGCTTGGCTGGAAACCGTTGCAACGGCGCGTAATAATGAAAAGCCACACGTGTCGGAGGTATTTCGAAGCTCTATGACGGATTATCGGTATAACACAGTATATCAGTGTCAGTATATCAGTACTCGGGGGAATTTTCACTCGTCACCGTGGCGGAGTGGCTAAACAGCGGAGTAACTCGCCAGGATTGAACTTGTCGGACTTGCGGGGCACGAGTTTGCTAATAAGTTTCTCGATTACACGACGCGCGATGCGGACGGCGGTTTAATTACAATGCGCCAGGACTTAGACCGGGCGTTGTGCAAACAGCGGCGAGGAGCGGGGAGGATCGTCTACTTACATGCCACCGGGGCCTCTGCCGATGTCGCCGTTGCTGGCAGCCCTCAGCATCTGCGAGGTGGCGGGCTCGTCCTCCAGCTGTCTCAAAGACTGGTGCTGAGGAGTCGAGTGATGGAGCGGAAGCGGCTGCTGCCGATGGCCGGCGGTGATGCTCCTCGGTAACGGAAGAGTGGACACCACCGTCGGCGGTTGAGTCAGCGTTCTTTGAGGCAGATGAGATGTGCTGACTGCCCTCGGCGGAAGCGGATCCCTTCCTATCACGGAGCCCGAGCCGGACGCTGCGAAGGAATTAATAGGATGCTCGCTTAATAAACGAAAAAGACAGGCGTAATCATAGAATTGATCTCTCTGCGTTTATAGCTCTGCGCGATATGAAGCAGAGGTCTTTTGTGAAAGGTTCACAGACGATACGGTGCCACATGACCAGAAATACTTGATGGTTGTGAGCGACATAGTTGCATCAGCTTGGTTATTTTTGTGTAATGGTATAATATATGATATGGTTGATACGACTCTGTTACATTGCCACACATTAACTGCATCAATGCAGTTGCACGTGATCTGGTTGTGGCAACTAGAAATCGATCGGGGTGGCATTTACCACGGATACTCTGGTTGGGGCAACCAGATATCGTCACTGTGACTCAGCGATTATTCTGTGTTTGCAACACAATTGGTTGTCCGCATCCCGTATTTTACTATTAACAAATGATGGCACAACCAGACTTGGGCGAACCATACTGCTTTTTTTCGCGTTGAAAATAAAACGATCGTGTCGCTGGATTCGCTTTCAGATTTGGAGGAGCCAAGTGTGGCGATTCAGTAGTGCTTTATACCATTTCGCATTTTGAGAATATCACGACCAGGACTTGAAGTTTACTTGAACGTGGACATTAAGCTCTCTATATGACGTAGTCACGGACCATAGGTGCGTACAGAATATGGGAAAACGATATGTTACCGAGTATCTTGACTTTATGTTTTGGGCTTAATAAAGGCGCTGGTGCATCATCACCGGTTTCACCTGGGGAAATTCGGTTTTTCCAGTAAACTCAGATGTGTGTCATTTTGTGTGCGCGCACATATACACGCGCCTATATTTATGCCTATGTGTATATTTTACATGACTTACCATTAGCGCACAGCAATTATTCTCAAGGATATCAGAATTTCACGCGAGATGTACGCTAATTGGACCTTGTATGTACACGGTGAGATCATAGGAGCATTCGGTGGAACCGGTGAGGTGGAGGTGTGCTCGCTGCGCTCGAATGAGAACGATAATGATAGAAATATGTGGGAAAACAGAATGTGGGTATCGAGTAGAGATCCTTCATAGATCGTTGGTACGTTCCTTCGTGCGGCGAACAACGAGCTAGTCAGTTACGAGCTAACGACGCGTACGCTCCGTTAAGACTTTATGATCTCAGCGTGAATCGAATGCGCTGAACTTCGCATGAGAAAGCACGACTGAGATTGTATCGGAAGTCACCGATCCTGAAACGGTTTCATTTCATCCTTGCGACAGTCATTTTGCGTCAAAACGAAGGAAAGAAAAATTCAGCTAATTGACTGACTCTAAAAGCTAGTAAAAGCCATGAGCATTTTTGATTAAACGAGTCTATTTGTTTCCTAAAGATCTCAGACTAGTACTGGAACTATTCTCGCCGCAGACAGATGTAACTGGAAAAGATCCTTATTCAAGAGAGTAGCTATAAATGGAACGCTGGTCGCCCAAGAAAGGAGTTCTAAAGCTGAAACTTTTACTCGCTGATCCTTTTCTCTCGCTGTCGTGAGTATTTTTATTCGCAACGTGTGACTTGCATTGCGACACGTCGTACGCTCCCGAAATCATATTTCGAGGTACGGTACCTCGCGATGTAGACCGAAACTTCGACAAGCGCATCTCACGGGCCACGGGCCCTTCGTTAATGCAAAACGAGTCGCAACCGGATGTCACAGCGGACATGGGAATGACGCGAGATGACATGCGCACATACGTACACACACATAGAGAGAGAGAGAGAGAGAGAGAGAGAGAGAGAGAGAGAGAGAGAGAGAACGAGAGATAGAACGGAAACGCGTGATCCCCCACCGGGTTGGGAGTGGCGGTAGACCGCCGCGTTCGAGAACAGACCGAGGAGTCCGACACGGCGGAGGAAAGGACAATTTATCGCGTACAATTAACTTCACCTCCGAAACCAGGCCACCGGTTACGTAAGGCCCAGGATTGCGTTCGGGGACCTGACTCCGCGATACGTTAATCGAATCCTTTCCGTCGCGACTCTTCGCGCTCATTTCTCGTCGTTCTTCCTTTCCTTTGCGCTTGCAATTCGTAGCAACTCTGAGCCCTTTTCTGAACGCAGCCAAGGATCTCGACTCTGTCATTCGCCGGCCGGAATCCGGTGGGAACGCGATCGATCGTGGAATAATACATCGAGAACACGCCGGTGAATTTCGCGGACATGCCGGACAGAATGCGACGCGGGGAACGAATCGGCCGATTCGCGCGACGATCGTTCACGCTCAAACATGCGTTCACGCTGAAACTGACGTCGGGAATGCGAACGACTCGCGCGAGCGGTGCCGGCGCGAATGCGATGCCATATGGGCGCAGCAGGAAACTCCTCTTGCACTTTGCGCATAATAGACGGTATTCAATCTGCAGAATGTACGGACCGATAGCGCGTGCGGCTCCCGTGCGTGATAGAGACATCATGCGGGCTGAAATTCCATTCTCCCGCCGCGATCGGGCCGCGTATGTACATATCCGCGCGAGAATCGATGCAGCGGAGTTTTGTGCTTATCGGACAAACGCGCAGATAGATTCGCCGTGGAGGCGGAAGCACGTGGTACTTTACGAGTACGCCGCGTGCTCGAGCCGTCCTATAAAAGGGAGCATTCGTCACGTCGCGGAGGGGTTTCTCTCTGGGTCGTGGCTGGAAAATTCTTATTTATTGGCGCGAACGGATATCGACCCATCCGTCTGGAACCTGTCGGTCCGATCGGGAGATGCACGAGCGATAAAGGTAAAAGCGTGCTGAAGCTCATTTTACATGCCGAATGCCGTCGACGAGTCGCGGGTAATTTCACACGTCGGAGTAATGGCAAATAGGGGTACTCGAGAGTACTTATTTATTCTTGTCGTTATTTCGTCCGCTCTTTACGCCTTATTTTATAAATACAGAGATCAATGAAACCATGTTTTACGAAATGCCGCACTTTTATATGTGAATATAAATTATTAAAATTAATTAATTAATAAAAAGTTAATTCAATATTTAACATAAAGGTCAATAAGAGTTCGAGCACAGGTTGAATAGTGCTGTTAAAACTATTAAAAAATAGTGACCCAATCTCACAATGAGACGAAATTTATTAATTATCAAACGCGTTTCGGTCTAATTTCGCAGACCCTCTTCAGTGATTACAAATTAAAAGACGAATTATATTTAAGTGTCGCAAAAAATTTTAAAAGTCGCAATAGTCGGTATTACAATGGTTGTTACAAAAACTGTCGCTGCAAATTTTGCTTTTAGTTCAAAAAATTAATTATTAAAATTATTAATTATTAAAATTATACGTGATTATTAAAATCATGCCACGGGATATGTGATAGTAAAATATAAAGCGTCTGACAAAATATTCATTTTCCTGTTTAACACAATTAATTAATTAATTTATAATGTATCGGCTTTTATACGCAGTTTTATAAGGATAAAAAATTCCAATTTCCGAGCATCGTGTGTATTCCGCAATTCTTTTACTTTATTTATGCAAAGGAAAGTCATAAATTTCCTTTTTGATTCCAGACTCCCGTGGTATGGTAGAGGAATTTCGTGTTCAGGGTCTGATCCCTAACGTAGGGGAGACAAGAGCTAGTTGGCTAAGTTCGGGTAAGTTGATAAAACCGGTTATTTCTAGTATTTCCTAACAAGTTGCATTAAGCAAGATTGTTAAACATGTCAGAGATGAAATTCCTGCTTGCCTGATTCTGACATCTGTTAAAGAACAGTAAATAATCGACTTTGCCAACTTACTCCAGCCCCGGTCTCCTCTGCACGAGGTATGGAACACTTTGCGTCAGACAGCTCATATATAGATACATCCAAGTTGTATTGGCAGCAGACTAATAGAAAGTATCCCGGAAGTTGACCGCAAAAATAATCAACGGGACTACCGACGTTTCGACCGACCGCTTTCCTACGATTTCCGTTTGTCGATGTTCCCTTTTCCACGGTGCGCAACAAAGGTGCACTCCCGTCCGCCGCCCTGTCGGATCGTTCATCTTGTGTCGACGATCGGTTCATCCTACTTCGCGTTCGCGGCGCGTACGAAATTATACGAATAATATGTGTGCATAGCTCGCACGGGGAGGCTTCTCGAGAGATCTGCGGTAGCTGCGCGAACGTAGCTCAAAGGGACAGACATACTTCCTGGGCAACCTCCGTGCATTCTTTCTGCTCCGCGAGCCGGGAATCAGGATCCGCGGAGCTTCCGCGACACGACGCAACGTTCCGCGTGGGATGCGAAAGAAAAGAAGACGAGACGACACGCACTCGACAGAGCTCGAGTTCGCACGCGCGCGGACGTTTCCCAGTGCCGGCGATTATTGTACTGACTGACCGTGGACACAATCGACGGCGTGACCGCGGATTGACGACGGAATGCGTGACGACGCATCCGGGATGCCGGCGATTTGCGCGATTTCGTCGTCGAGCTGCGTGTCGACGCGAGCGGGATGACTCTGCGACGTTCTCGTCTCGATAACCAGGTGTGACGCGTGTCCGGACTGAATCGCAAAGATCGGCTTCCCGAGCGCGCAGATTTCTCCTCCTCGTGTCTCCTTTGCGAAATCGTAATCGCGTTTCCTGTTTCTCGGCCTCCGCTCGCACGGGAATGCGGATGGATGAGAATGGCGTTGTCAGCGACTCGAGCGAATCCAACGTGGAAGAGCAAGTGAATATCGTTTCGATCAATGAGCGCTCCCGTGAAAGAGATCGGTGCTGTCAATTTCGACTAGCCGGGCCTCTTAGATTTTACCCAAAACACGTTTCGCTGGTCCGGGTAGAATTGACTGTAGTTATGCAAAAATAATTCAATCCACATGGAGTATATTTCGAGAAAAATGAAAATAATACATGATTTAGAAAATATAAATAACACTAAAATAAAAACTTCACAATCGTTCAAAAAGTCAAGTATGGTCAATTTTCTTCTCTTTAATTGTATTCATCGACAAACTTAATCTCGTAAAAAATGGGTAAAAAGGCACAAT